TCTTCTTCTTCTTCTTCTTCTTCTTCTTCTTCTTCTTCTTCTTCTTCTTCTTCTTTTTTAATTGGTACCAGGGATCCAACTCATGACTGTGTGCTTGCAAGGCAGGCACTTATGCCACTGAGCTAAAGTCTCAGCCCCTCATGTCTTACCTTTTTGTGGTGGAATAGTATGATATTGTATATAATAAATACCAGATTTTCTTCATCCTTGCATGGCTTGATAGGTTGCTTTCAAGATTTAGCCATTATGAATTGTGCTGCTGTATGTGTGTATCACTGTAATGAGATGTTTTTAACTCTTTGGGAAGATACTTAACCAAAATACCTGGGTCAAATGGAATTTCTAGGGTTAGTTTTTTGAAGATTCTCCATACTGACTGACTTTCGTATGGAGTTCTATCAGTTTACAAGCAGCAATGAAGAAGGGTTCTTTCTCTCTGAAAGCCTGTCCAGCTCTTGTTGTCATTTCTTGAATGTAGCCCTTTTTTCTGGAATTCAGTGAACTCTTAGTCTTCTCTGAATTTGCATCTCTCAATTGACTAGAGATGTTGGATATTTTTTCATGTGTTTATGGCTTTTTACTATTTTATCTGAGAAGTGTATATTCACATCACACATACTCATTTTTTGAGTGGTATTTAAATTTGGAATTTTTTTTTAGTTGTTTATATATTCTAGATGTTAGTCCTTTGTCTGGTGAGTAGCTGGAAGGTTGTCTCTTCACTCTGTCAGTGGTTTCCTTTGCTGTGCAGAAGCTTTTTAACTTGATATGATTCCGCTGGTTTATTCTTGGTATTATTTGTTGTGTGTGTGCATCTGGGGTTCTGTTTAAAATGGTTTTGACTGCACTGATACTTTTTCTTAAAGATTATCATTTACAAATATTTGTGGAAGGAACTGCTCAAGGTAAATATTCAGTTTTTGCTTCCTTGAAAAACTATTTAATCTTCACTCATGTATAAAATTTTAACCAACTTTAGGAGACTACATTGACAGTTTTTCTCCACTTTTCTTCTTTGAATGCATCGTGTGCCAAGATACAATCTTTATCATATTCTTAAGCTTAAAGGAAACTGTTCATTATTTCAGTAATTATTTTAATGTTTGCTGTGTTCTTTCACAAACATTCTGTAATGGGAAATAAATTTCCTTTAATGATTACCTTGCTCAGATTTTTTTTTAAGTAAAAAAAAAATCACATATTTTTGTGACTATATACAAAAGAATGTTTTATGTCTATGGATATATTTATATACTTAATGACATTAATCAAAGGCGTAATACTAAACTAACTTTATGTCCTTAGGAACAATCTCACTTGTACTGTTAATAAGTGGGATAAATCACTATTTTTGCTTTCTTTAAATATTTTACTCTGGTTTGGATATCATGAATTCTGTTTACAAATGTGCTCTATCTTCTCTCTAGAGAGTTTATGTGGATTGAGAATGCAGCTTTCTTGAGAGAGTGTTAATTTTAGATCAGGTGTAGAAAGAGTAACAATTATTTTTAACTTTGCTCATGAATGTGCTCATGAAAAGAGTTAAGCATTATTCTGTAATAAAATTACATTTGTAATAAAATTTTGAGTTATTAAAACTATATTTTGGAGGGAAGAAAATTCCATGCAAAATTTTGTTTTCCATAGAAGAAAAAGGAGTTACATGTCTAAGGATTGTTACTTACAGATACATGCATTAAGATTGTTTTATCAAGGAGCTGGGGATTTAGCTCAGTGGCATAAGTGCCTGCCTTGCAAGCAGGCAGTCATGAGTTTGATCCCCAGTACCAATAAAAAGGAAAAAGACCAAGAAAAAAAAAAAAAAAAAAAAAAAGATTGTTTTATCATAATGTGAATTACAGAACATCTTAAATAGAATTATTAGTACGAAGAGAGACATGGGTTCAGATTATCTCCGTAGATTAATGTTTTGATATAAACGTATGGATAATTAATCTTTCATTTAAATATATAATGTAGACTACTCATGTAAACATGTTAAAAACCTATTTGATAAAAATATTCCAATTTATGTAGCACGCATTTAATGACTTTTTCATTATGAGAGAATGAAAAAGGAAAATACAGTATTGTGCATTTTTGCTGTATATTCATATGCAAAGCATTTTAAGTCTTAAAGTTCTTCTTACCTGATATGTTAAGAGGCTTTGCCAAGCAAATGGAAAACTCTATGCAACTGTTGCCTGTATAACATGTAAAGAATGTTTTGTTCTAACTTAATACCTCACACTGCCCCTTAGAAGAGGTGTGGCGTTATGTAGCTCTTAATACTACACATGTTTGACACTTCACGTTTTAAAAATGAAAAAAGTCTATATCATTTCTTCAATATTTTTCTGCCCTGCTTTTGACAGTTCAGCTTGAACTCCAGACTCCAAGTTATTTTTAACACTGAGGCTGTAATTTACTTACATAAGATCTCTAGGCGTACAGAACAGAAAGTATATGAGACCTCCTCCTGAGTGATTTATTCTACCTGACTGTTATTATCTTGAAAAGCTGCCAAGTTTGCTTTTTATCCTTTCAGTGCCTCAAGTGGGAATCAATTAGAGTACTTGCTGTTTTGAATAGCAGATAATGGTATGTCAGTAATTAAGACCACCAATAGTGTTCAGGAGGCAAGTATCGTTCTAAAGGAGCTGCAGACAATTTGGTTTTTAGTTCAGAATGCAATAGCCGCTAATAAACTTGACTAAACTAATTTTTGTTACAGAAAAAACGAAGTTTTATTGAGTAGAAATAAACCACTTCTGCCTTGGTGGGAATTCACCATTTGATTCTATAATTATAAAACATTCTTGATACAAGATCTTGAAAAGTAAATTTACATCTAAGATATACAATTCTCAGGTCAGAGATGTGCTATTTTATAGGCAAGGGTATACACAAAAGCTCATCATCAGCTGTAGGCTTTTCGAAAGTTTAAAATATTGCAGAAGCACGGTATTTTGGGAGATTCTTTCAAATAATTTCCAGGATGGATTTTTCAGAAATGTATGTGCAAATAAAAACTCCACAGCTAGTGCAAACTATATCTTACATATAATAAGGTTTAGTGGTGTGAAATATTTTGAGGCAGAAAAAAATGTCTTTATTGCAAAAAAAAAAATAAGGAAGAAAAACATGGCACACTTTTAGACTGTTAAGGTTAGGAAGTTCGAGACTCTAAGACTAAATTTTAAAATAAGCATAAGAAAATAATATTCTAGGAGTTGTGGCAAATTTAATATTAGAGTTGTGTGTTAAGCAACATTTCAGTGCTGTGACCAAATATCTAAGAAAAGCATCTTGAAGAAGGAAAGAGTTATTGTAGCTCAAAGTCTCGGAGGTTCGTCCATGGTTGTCTGGCTCCATTTTTGTGGGCAGCAGTTGAAGCAGAGGGTGTAGTAGGGCAAAATTGCTCAGCACATAACAGATGACAAACAGAAAGATGGGAAGAACCGGAGAGAACTGGAACAGGGACCGTATACATCCTTTAAAGGCACCACTCACTGTCCTCTCACGGCCAGTGCAACTGCGGCCTCCTCAGTGAATTCTGCACTAACAAGGTCAGCACTGCCCTATCTGGTCACTTCTCTAGGCACTGTCTCTGAACACTGGAGATCAGGCCCCCACTACGTGAATCTTTGGGAACACCTCTCATTTAAATCATAACAAGTTGTTACAAATTGTAGCAGTCCTAGATGAAGCATTAAATGCATTCTTCTTAATGTATTTAGTAGATTTGTTTTACATTTGTTTTAAATACAACCACCAGCTTCAGTTTCCAAAGACAGCCTTTTTATTTCCCAACCTGCTGGTCAACTGCTAAGTGATTTCATTCTTCTCTGTCTTTGTAGGAAAAGCAAAGTCACTTATCAATGATAAAATTTAATTTATAAATCAGATGATAGAGTAACAATAATAAGTATAATACATTATAATTAGAGCACTATGCTTTCATAAAAGTGATGTAAAACTTAAAAGTTGTTTATTTCAGAAATTTTCCATTTTATATTTCTGAACTCTGGTTGACCACACATTATCGAAGACCTGGAAAGTGGTGTGGACGGGGAGCCCCACGTGCAGGCCTCCTCCCCGTGAGAGCGGACTCCTCACCTTTCCATGGCCATGTCTTTCACATTGCCACTGTTTCTGTCTTTGACACCTGCTTTTCTCTAGAATTCTGTCTCTCTAGGTCTCTGACTTGTCTGGGTTTCTATCTGTGTCACTCAGTTTAGATATTCTAGCTATCTGTAAATATCTCCCCTTAATTTTATATTTTTATGCTTGTTGTTACTAAAATATTAGTGCCCCTCCCACAATCCTCACCCATCCTATAGAACAGAATGTGCTTTAGGAGTGGGTCGGCAGGTGTTTGGCTATGCAGGTGTCTGGACAGGCTCTGCGTGACAAGAGCTGGGTGTATGGCTTCCAATCATCTTCCCTTTGGCATTTCCCCAGAATCCTGTTACTCCTTCTTAGCTACTTTTCCGAATGTATTTTAGTTTCCTTTCATTTTTCCCTATGAGTCTATCCCACAGATCCAGAATTCATTTATACTTAGATAAACCTGACTGGTAATCATTTACAGAAGATCCTATGGTGCTAAGGTTATATGCTATAACCATGGCATATAAGCATGACACAAAGTGCAAAGCGGATATTCTCAGGAAAAGAAGGCACTGAATTCATTCCACAATATAGATACTTCTGCTTCCAGCCTGGTTCATATCAAAGTATAGATATTACTTTAGCTTAAGATTTTCTGCTATGTCTATATAATCTTGCATAACCAATTGTGTTTTATTTAAAGAAGTTTTAATTTTATTAAATAGAATTTCTATCATTATCAATCTCATCACTATAAACAAAATGTACTGTTTCAGTTATGTGTAATATTAAAAGTACCTATGCTATCAAAATATTTCTTTAAAAATATTGGCCTAAACTCAACACTATGACTCCTTCTCCTCATTGGTTATCTTGCACATTTTCAGCATGTTATTTGTACAGGATTGTGGTGCAAGGTGGAAGGGGAGAAAGAATGCAAGACCAAACTGGACCCACCAATGGATGGAACCGACTGTGATCCTGGTAAGGTAAGTCATTTGGGGTCCAGAATTAATAAACTATTACATGCAACGTGATGCATTTGCATTTTCTCCTGCTGACTAGATAAAGACCCTTCTTTACATGCATGAAATAATTTCAGTGTATATAAAAGTATTAGTATATCATCTGTGTTTAATTTTAACTTTCCTACTTGTTACAAATTTGTAGTAGTGTTATTCATATTAAAGTGGTGTACCGGCAAGCATGAGGTTGTGAGTTTGATCCCTGATACAAAAAAACTAAATAAATTAAGTGACGTAGCTTTTACTGTTATTTTTAATAATGTTGAGGGTCAGAAAATAAACTACCTACTTCCACAAAATAGTGGATTCATATTTTTGCTATTTAAATCAGATAGAAATAAAATTAATACATATGATATCATAAATAGTAAAAGTTCTCAATGCACTTTTGAATCTTTTGAGTTCTAAAATATTTTCTCAGAAGAGCAACAAACTATTTAACTAGTCTTACTGTGCTGCATAAGGCTATAGGAATTTATTAGTGTACATTACAAGATCAAAATAAGTGCTGTTATATAAATAATTTTCCCTTGGAGAATATGAAATAGTTGGAACCCATATGCATTTATAATTATGGTTAATTTAATAAAAAGATAACTGATCAACACTTTATAAGTTTTTTTTAACTTTGACACTATGATATGGAACGGTTCTCCACTCAATGATTGTAAGATTAGAAATCTTGGTTCTGAAGAATATGGATGTTTATCACATTTGAAAATGAACAGTAACAGAAAAACTCTATGGTATATTTGAGTTTCCTTACATAGGAAAAAAAGAGTAATTCATGTAGAGTATTAGTTTTAAAGCAATTTAAAAACATCGAAATCTACTTCAGGAAAATTGTCCTGAAGAAGTATTAAATACGCACAAGTTCACACACACACACACACACACACACACACACACACACTACGACACCTCTCTCAGAATGTAATTTGCAATGTGAAACATCAAAAATATTCATACAGACAGGAATGATTATAGCATAGTTGTTTTTAAAACTTTAAAAATGTTAATATGTTGTAATGTGTGTGCATGCGTGTGTGTTAGTTGAGAATTATAAGACATGGCTCTTCAGGCATGTCAGAGAAATTGATTCTTTGTGACACCATTTGAGATTTAAGGAAAATACAGTTTGTGTGTCAATTGGAATGCATATATTTCATAGTATATATTTTTAAACATATAAGAAGTTGTTTATGGAGTTTGGTTATGGAATTTATTATAATAAATTGTTGATAGAGTTTATTGCTATAAACTCCAAACCTTCTTAGTAGGTAACATTTTAGGAGTGAGTTGAAATGATAGGAGTGAAGCATATGGAAAATACATCTTTTCTCCATATATTTCTGGGTTGTATAACATAAGCATATAATATTTTATCATGTCTATGATTAATTTAAAAAAGAAAAAGTGGACAACTTGCTTAAATTAAAAAAAAATTAAATGACTAAAAGTACTTATCATTAGATAGTGTCAATAAAAAATGCCAATCCAAGCAAAACAATGAAGGTAATACAGCACTTCAAAACAAGATAATAGAAAATCCATAATGGCTACCATAATGCTCTTGTTATCTTCAAAATAGCTGCCCATATCATCAGGCATAATAAATTCAATCAAAATAAAACCAATCAAAACAAAACAATGAAAATGATACAGGGTTCAAAAGCTTTATTTTGTTTGGTTTTATTCTTCTAAAATAAAGAAAATTTTAAAAAATTTTTTCTTCAAATGGCTCCTTGGCGGACATTTCTGTGAAATGTGAGTTGTTTACACATCGTCCCAACTATTTTCTAGTGTGCTTAACTGGAGAGTCAGTTTGTTCTATTTTCTACTTAAATTACACACAGAAGTACAACAATGTGTACATCGCAGGCAAGTCTCATGACCTTATGCTGAGTAATTTATGGCTTCTTTATACAATAGCACAGGCAGTAATTTCCATCATCCTTGAAACACAAAGGTAGGGATATGCAGAGATAATCAAATAGACAACCAGTTAGCTGTAAACATCACACAAGACATTCATCGTGTTTCATATTTCTTTAGCACCATAAAACCTCTCCATTTTTATAAATTTGGTGTCCTAAACATTTTTCACTGTTATTTTTTTTCTCATACTTTTGAGGATAATTTGTAGTCTTGAGCTTTCTAAAGTAGATTTATTCTTTTAGTAATCTAAACTGTAATTGCTCAACAAAAGTATAATGTTCTGTCTCGCTACAATTATGTTAATGATAATCTTAGAGGTTCTGTCATGCTTTGTATTTTAAAATAACTGGTGTGCCTCTCAGTTTCACAGGACACGTGGGCTTCCTCACATGTCCCTACGTTAGAGGAGCCATCGCCTAAATAGCTTCCACCACTCTGCTTTTGTGCATAGTACCAGGAATCAAAGCTGGAGATATTTTACTTTTGTAACATTCTCGTGGTATTAAGCTGTGTATATCTATCTAGTTCATCTAACACAAAATTCTGAGATTCAGAATGATTCTGAAGATAGAGCTTGATGCCCTATTTGTAGATAGCATTTTTCAAATTAAAACATGCTTTTTCTCCTTTTCTCTTTACATTTTAATTTTTGTGTAAGGTCTGTCATTTTGCAGTTTGCCATACAAATGTGAACGTGCTTACATTTATGCTTGATGAGATTAAAGAGTTGATAAATGATTTAATAAAAACCAATGAATGTATGTATGTATTATTTCTTTTTTATGTATAGTATTTATTCAGAGTAGATACTAAAAGGAAGTTAAATAAAAATTTGCTAAAACTATAGGCTGTTTTTAAAGGATTTTGTGTACTGTAGTTTAGTATAACATAGTTCAATTAGTTCAATATATAGTTCAATAATATAGTTCAGTAGTTATTTCTGTTCCTACATTGAAATTCTTGATATTGCCATCACCATGAATTATTGGAAATAAGAAGAGTACAATCTATTAGTAGTCACAATGTGTGTATGTAAAGAGCTTTTTACCTTCTTTTCTTTTTCTTTTTTCTACACTGTGTGTGTACAAGATTTGCTTTAAAAAAAATATCATTATCAGGTTACATTGACATCCTCGTGACCTTCTAATCCATGCTGTCATGAAGTTACTAGACAGCTATAGAAACAATTGGTAAGATAGAAATATCATATTTTTAGCTAATATATTGTCTCAGAAATATCAATATCATATGTTCACTTAGCAGTTTTTTGAATCAGATTGAGTTTGTAAATAAGACAAATCCTGAACTTTTTAAACAATGTGTAGTATATCTTTTGAGGCTAAAATAATGAAAATATGTGATAGAAAATGTTGCTAGCACATTTATGGAAAGTATCCTTTCGAATGCTGTTGGATATACTGCGTCATTTAAACAAAAGCATTTAATGTTGTGCAATGTTGAAGCACACTACCACCTAGGAGACACAAAATCAGGTCCCTATGAGTTAAATCTAAATTGACAGACTTTAAATATTGTGCAGTTATTCTTTAAATTTCACTGTTTGTGTAGGCACGTTGTCTTGTGTATCTGTTTCTAGGTTTATTCATCAGCCAGATGTTATCTAGCTTACATCAGGTGCACATCTAGATCCCATTCCTTCTTGGAAAACTCAGTTTGTTATGAATTTGACCCCAGCCTTTCAATGCCATCTTGGTGCTAAGTGGACAAGGAGCTTTGATATGCACCCTGGGAAAAAATAAACAGCTGTCAAGAAGGCCAAGTACCATGATCAATTGCAGTTTGACCCTTTTACACTGGGTGTTTTTCCAAAAATGAATGGCATGACATTGTTAAAGCCTTATAACCAATATATGATGTAAAACATTCATGTGATCTACTTTTTCTCCTTTTCCAATTTTTAAACTGCAATCTTGATAAATTTCTAATTCATTTAATAGAGGTTTTAGCATGCTGGTATATTAGTAGTTGGTGACATTTAATTTTTTCAAGCTTAAATTTAAAACCTCTTGTATCCAAAGAACTTTAAGTTTATATTTTGACATTATTAAAGAAAATCGACAAGGACTAATTATTTTATTGTTCAAACAAAATAGTATGATATCATCTTCCAAAATGGGAATATATTCTCAAAAGGGGAATATATTCTCAAAATAAATTTTAAGGGAAGATATTTATTCATCAATAATGACCAGAATGAACAGAATTTTTGTTACATATTTGGTTATAGTTAACTTCACTTAATTCCTTATGCTTTGCGGTTAATTCTTATTTCAACCCTTGAGAAAATAAAATCTATTAGATAAATAGGATTTTTTTCATACCTTGGAAAAAAATCAAGCTAAACTAAGAGCATCGCTGTAATTTTGTCACGATCTTATTAAGTACAGAAAGTCATTTATGGTGAGTAAAATCAAGCTGCCAATACACGAGCTAATTTTTACTTGTTTTCAAAATGATTTTTCTTACCTTTAGCATGTCTGCTGCGACCATCATTTTTTCCGATTTTCAGTAATAAAGAGAAATTATCATACTCTTGTCCACATTCCTTGATTCCAGAGAAAGTCATTCTTATTACTTTTAAGTTCTGGAAAAACAAAATAAAAATTAAAATGATAATGATTGCACTGCCTTTGATTTATTTATTTGTTTGGCATAATATCTTTCTTAGTTATTGTTCCCGGTTACAAGATGCTGCAGACTAAGATTTTCAGACTAAGTATAACGAAGTGACAGAATTTCAGTCTAATTGCTCATCTTTCAAACATCTTGACTTTCGAAAGAAAACTTATGGCAATATTAGCACATGAACTTGGTGAGAATTCTCTGAGAAAAAAAATAACAAGAGGTCTTAAGGATGGTGCTCAAATTCCATCACAGTGTCCAGGTTACCAGGAAAGGTAATACTCTGAATCACTAACATTAAAAATCAAAGCTGCTACACTTGCTGAAATACCTCCATCAACCCAGTTCTAAAAGGCTGTTTACTGTTTTTATTCTGGTAAATTATTCATGTTTTGTCCTTTAAATTATTGTTTCTCGGATTCTGTCAGTTTTTCTCTTTGTACAGCCTGAAATTCCTTCTCGATCATCTTCACCTTACCTCTGTGACAAATCCTGAATTCTCACTGTTACAAAATAAGCAACCAAGAGCTGCTCTCATGATGAGACTTAGTTCTAGAACTTGATCATTATATTCCAATGACAAAATGCAGGTGGAAACTTACTTTTGGCCTTTTTTTTCAGTCAACATATTTTGGGGTATATGTAGACCTAATTTACTTGCATGAATCCCAGTGACTGTATAGACCAGTAAATGATTTTCAGTTGTGCCCTGATTTGTTCACCTAAGACATAACTTTTGGAATAGTGGTGTAAGGCTGGAGAGTGTACCAGCAGGACCTCAGCACCTGAACATCTGGCGGGAGAGTGGACTGAGTGGAGTTCCTGTAGCCGGACCTGCAGTGCTGGGACCAGCAGTCGGGAGCGCAGATGTCCAGGGTAAACTAAGAGGGCCTGCTCTAGGGGAGGGCGTTGCTTTCTTCAGTTTTGAAGTACAAATATTTTATCAATGAACTATGTCATAAAGAATCCCTCAAATTCTACTCCACTTTGGAAAACAACAAAGCTCCTCTAACTGCCTGTTTATATAAAAACCTTCCTTTTAAGAAGAATGTAGAATCCACATCTTCTGATAATGAAAGCTACAAAATATGTTTTCTGGGTAAATAGAATGCTGCATTTCAGTAAGCAGGGAGATGCATATTTGAAAAGTTATGTGAACATTAAGGAAATCGTGAGAAGAGTAGGACATGGTAGAGCTCCAGAGAGATAAAATGTAAGAACAAAACTGATGGCAATAAAAGCTAAAACTAATCAAAACCAAAAACATGTTGAATACATACGGACAGAGATTATTACAATGTCAGCCTGTTCAGTGCCATTGCTCCTGCAGAGATTCTAGGAAATTAGAAAGTCGATTCAGTCTTGGATACTGCCAGAACAGAGCTCAATGGCACAGTTCGGTCATAAGCAGTTTTAAAGAATTTATTTAAAATCATATTTAATAATTCTAAGAACCATACTTTTATGGGAATTGCAAACTTTCTATTTTATCCTCAAAGTCTGCCCTATACATTTATAGGTTATTTTTCATGGCAAGTTGGCTTTGATTCCTCATGTAGTTTTGAAGATAAATCGATTAAACATTGAAAAATATGTTTTAAAAACTAAACATGGATTTCCTACTAGTTTCACTGAACGTACCCAATCTTTCAGACGTTGATTTTAACTTAATGTATTATATGCTACTTATAACTTTTTAAAATTTTTATAAATTAGTAATAATTTTTTTTCAAGTAAAATTGATTGCTTGTACTATCTTTTCTAGGCTAGGTTCTGAAGCAAGGGATTGTAATGGTCCCAGAAAACAATACAGAATTTGTGAGAATCCACCTTGTCCTGCAGGTTTGCCTGGATTCAGAGACTGGCAATGTCAGGCCTATAGTGTTAGAACTTCATACCCAAACCATGTACTTCAGTGGCAAGCTGTTTTGGATGAAGGTATGGCCCACAGATCAATCCTATCTTCTTTAAGTGCGCTTCTAGGTTTGCAAAATATTTTTATAATGGTGGTGTTACTACACAGATTATTTTCTAGATATTTGTAAACTTTATTTTTTCTACTTTTACTATCTTTTAATAAACACATCATTAACAAATATATATATATATATATATATATAAAGCATAATAAGTACTTACTAGAAAATTTAAAATAGTTACAACATCAAACACTGACGGAGATGAGATAAACTGAATCTTTCTGACACTCCAGTGGAAATATAAAATGATATAGCCACTAGCAGTCTCTCATATAACTAAACATACATTTAAGATACAGTGTAGAAACTATAGTCTTGAATTATGGAAAACTACTCGATTATGAAGAACTGACTACTGGTCTATGCAACAGCATGATGGATCTCAGAGAGTTATGCTGAGTGTCTACATCAGAATTGACACATATTGTACAATTCCATGAGGATAATATTTTTAATTGAGAAACACTACCGAGATACGTACCAAATTAGTTGTTGACAGAGGTTAGGATAGTGCAGGATATTAGAGAACCCTTTACATGGCCCAGTCATCAGGGATGCATGCAGTGAGTCCCCAGTCTAGTGCTTGGCAGAAAAAAAAAAAGAGAGAGAGAGAGAGAGAGAGAGAGAGAGAGAGAGAGAGAGAGAAAAAGACAAGAATTGCACAAGTTAGTTAGGACTCTGGAATGATCCATGTCCTCTGGGGATAAAAGACCCCAGCTAGCCACCACTTAAATAGCCAGTGCAGGAAGCAGGTTTGGTGCTTGTCTTGGAACATTGTAGCAGCGGTGAAAGAATGGACACATTTACCATCAGAAAGGGAACAAGGTGAGATTGCTAATCTCATTGACCAAAAGGAAGCAGGGTTTCTGCACTGCAGAACTGGCCCAGAGGTAGGCAGGGTAAGGTCAGCCTGAGACAGATACATGTCAATTTATAATTCATTGTCCCCAACAGCTGGGGGCAATGATGGGCATTACTATAAAGGGAATAGTTCAGTATCTTAATTGAGGCAATGGTTACATAAACCTACATGTGTGATAAAAAGCCACAGAACTACTGTACATGAACCCATGCCGGTTTTCTGGATTTCCTGGATTAAAATAGTTAAGAAGTGTAAACCCTGGAGAAACAGTATGAAAATTGTAGGACTTCTGTTTACTATTTTTGCCAATTCCTTTAAGCCTTTAATTATTTTAGAATAAATATTTCAGGAAAGTTATATGCTGGCTTATTAAAAATGCTAATACTTTTCAATGGTGAGTAGACTGGAGGTTTGAGTTGCAGGTGCCGAAATTGATGATGAATTTTCTAAACTATATTAGACATTGTTCAATACATCTCTAGTTCATAGTCTCCCTATTAGATTATGATTCACATCATTTCAGTAACACGCCTGTCTATAACCCAAACTCCATTGGTTCTCAATTTGAATGCTCGCCTCTGTTAAAATCCTTCCCTCTGTCAAGCCCTTGAATAATAACGGAAGGAAAGGATGGCAGGTTATTCCACTACACGATGGATTTTTAAAAGTCATCTGATGATCACCACCTTGTCTTCATGATATCAAACACTTACACTTAAATCTGTCTACAAACATTTTTATCTGTTTCTTACTATGCAACAGAATTGTAATTTCCCTTCCCAAGTTCAGTCCCTCCGTCTGTACCCAGGGTGTTATCCTGTCTTCTTCTTCCATTTTTGTTACTGATCATCTCGTCCTTTTTGGCGTCTTGAATCCCTCCTGTGTTTGACCATCCAAAGTAACTACTCCGGATTCTTCTGCTAAAACTGATGATACCTTCCCCCGGGCTGGACTTTGAGGTGTGGGCTCACACATTTGTTTCCTCACAGCCGCTATTCTCAAAGAGTTGCAAGGTTTCATTGCTCTTTCCTTACCTTCAATCTGCGTTACCCTACCACAGTCCTCTCTGTGGCCATCAACTAATCACCTTGAAGCTAGCTGAATCTAATGAACGCTCTTCTCTCCTGTCTTACTTGGCTCACAGAGCCTTCACCTGAGTGATCATGCCTTACTTCTGGAAACGCTTTTGTGCTTTGATTTCCAAGATACAAAAGCAAATTGCCCTCCTTGTGATATCTCTGGCTTGTTCTCCTGCCTATTCCAGATGTTACTGTTTTCACTCTGCATTTCTTCTGAGGTGATCTCATCTATTGCTGTGACTTCAAATATGTGACTATCTCACGAATTTATGGTTTCAGCCAGAATTTACTTTTAGCTCCAAACTTGAATACACAACTACCCTAATGCAGCTCTGCTGGGATATCTGCAAGTTCAAAACCGTATCATTCCTGTCAGTGTATGTTCTAACCTTTGTAGCATCTCCTGTTTCGGTGAAGTGAGCACTGACTTGTAATCTGCAAAACCTAGATCATGCGGGCGTGGGGACGTTGTGTAGCCTGCTGCTTTAACTTCTACAAGGCCTCCATCTTTTTTAAGTCTTTGAAATGGACAGGCCAAATCCCTTTGTTCCCCTGAGAAGCATACTCACTCCCCCCCCGCCCAGTCCTCTCCCTATTTATTTGTCTTGTTTTTCTTATTTTTCTCTCCCTACTTATTTATCTCAAAACTTTTGATTGTATTTTCTGGACACCGTTTACATCAATTACACTAGTTAAAAAAGTTACCCAGATTCTCTAAATAGTGTGTGTGCTTCTCCCACTAGGCTGTTTGTAATCTATAATAACATATTTCATTGTATCAACATTTCTTCTAATATGTACTTCTAATATAGTCTTTGGTGTATATTAAATTTCTCACGAATATTAGTTCCATAAATTTAAAAATATTGTCAATATGTTTTGATGGTAAAAATATAATCAATATAACTATTCACATGATGGAAATTATCATTTGATTATTTGAGTTAATTCTGTATCGACTTATAACTCACTGGATTTAATCCAGAATTTACTTGAGATTTATTTACACATGTGAAGTAAGAGATTGAAATATCTTTCCTCCAAATTAAAAGAAAATCAGAATTAGTGAACATCAATTTAAAATATTAAAAGTATTAGAATTTGCAAAGAAATCCTTAACTCTTATAAAGTGATGTTTAAAATCAGTAATCTGTAAGAACTTTTTACCAACAGATTAGCACTTTTAATTAAATTTATTTTGAATTTATTCATAAAACACAAAACTTTTACATATTTATAGGGTACCATGCGATGTTTAGATGTATTTATATGTTGTGTAGCAGCCAAGTTCAATGTATCTATGTCTTCTAACACCATTTCTCTGTTGAAGACTTTCAAAATCATTCCTTTTAGCTTCCTGAAATGTGCAGTGCATGACTGCTAGAAATAATCATCTTGTTATGCAGTAATGCGCCAGGGCCTTTTGCTCCCGTGGAACTGTAATCTGATGCACATTCATAAATCTTTTCCCATTCTTCTTTCTTCCCCACTCTTACTGGCCTCTGCTAACCTTTGTTCTACTTTTAACTCCTATGAGATCAACATTTTTACATTGCACATATGAATGAGATTGTGTCTGTCCATATCTGGCTTATTTCACCTAACATAATGATATCCAGTTTCATCAGTTTTGCTGCAAATAACAGGATTTCATTCTTTGTTATAGCTGAATAATATTCCATTGTGTATATGTGCACTGTTTATCCGTTTATCTTAGGTTGTTTCATTTCTTAACTTTGTGAATGGTGCTGCAGTGGACATGGGAATCTAGATGTCTCTTGGACATACTGATTTCATTTTCTGTGATTATGTACTCAGATGCAGGATTGTTGACCAGATGGCAGTTCTATTGTTAATTTTTTTGATGAACCTTATTACTATTTTCTGTAGTAAATATTCTAATTTATGTTCCTATCAACTGTATACAAGGATTCCCTTTTGTCTCCATCCTTACCCTTACCAGCCCCTGCAATCTTTAGCTATTTATGATAGCCATTTTATTAGAGTGAAGACATATCTCACCACAGCTTTAATTTACACTTAGCATTTTTAATAACTTTGGAACACATTTTTAATAACTTTATATACTTAAGTCTGTGAGTTGAAAACAATACACAATAATAACTAACCTTTGTGTGCTATAGCACTATGAAACAGAATGAAGTTTGCAGTTCTTTTAAAGGTCGTCTTAATAACATACGATGACTTAAAACACGAGTGAGCTTATCCATTATTCCTATATTTAGATGGGTTAGTGACTAGCAGAATTAAATGTAAGATATCAATGAGTTTGTGACTATGTGGAGAAAACAGATGTGTGGCCTTAAACAAAAGTGTTTTACACACTATGTGTACTGAAATTTGGCTGAAATCCATGTTTAATGCATATCTTGGAAAGGGTGCGTCTCTTAAATCAAGACAGAGCCTGCCTGCCAAGTGCTGGCATGTTACATGGATCACCACAATGTCACAGTCTCAAGGGGACACTCCAGGAAGGAACATCAGTATCAAATGTTTATATCATCTGTAAAGCTAAATTAAGCAAAGAGTATTGACAATGTGTTATAAAGGGAAAAATACGAAAATTTTGATCTGACTTCTTGTTTGGAATGTGAGTGGAATTTTCTGAGAGGCTCTTTTCAACATTACTCATATATCTGGTTTGTTCCTTGCTTCAATGAAAACTCCAGAAAAAGAATTATATATAACAGTTTTAAAGTGTTGCAATCATAGCAACTGTAAGTCCAAAGATATGACATAGTAAGCAGTCATTGACTAAACGTAACCTACTTTGAGGTGTGAGAGCACACTGAAATATTTTATTGTGGTTTATAATAGAATCTTAAAGGAAAATTTCAAAACCATGCACATTAAGGGATCTTGTTCCAACTCCTCAAAATTGTTCAGAGCAGTATTCAGAAGCCACATGTGAAAACTGCTTAAAATGTTCAATTCTGAAGACTCATTTAACTGTCTGTCTTCTCTTTGCAAACTGATCCACTGTTCCATGCCTCTGGCTGTTATTTGGTATTTATAGGATCCCATCAGCATACGTGGAACTTTACTGAAGACATAAGCGAAGATTAGTGTCAGACACTGTAAACTATTTTCCATTCTATTTATACAAGCTTAATAAACAGTACAGGGCCTGACTGTTGTAAAGCCAATAAAGTAATAATGTAGCATGGAAATTTCTCCGAAGTTTCAGATTTGGATAATCATACTACTGGTGTTAACCAAATACCGTAGCTCCTTTATAGGAAGTTTAGGAATAGAGACAACATTTTAAAAATAGTTTGCCCCTCTTGGTGCCCAAGTGGCAAATGTTGTAATGCCAAACATTCTTATTGCTCATTGAAGCATTTATGATGACTACCAGTCATTCAAGAATTCTTTACCTTAAAAAGTGGTGCTCAACACAGATGTCACATTGACTGACATATTTCTTTCTTTTCTTTCTTTTTTTTTTTTTTTCTTTTTCATTTTTACGGGTACCAGGGATCGAACTCACAACTGCCTGCTTGCAAGGCAGGCGCTTATGCCGCTGAGCTAAATCCCCAGCCCCTAATGACATATTTCTGAGTAAGTGGTAAGGGAGCCACGTTTCTAGCTGGACTCATAACCGTCCAGCACACTATGATAGATGTAATGGGAAGATATTTTATTTTTAAACATCATAGTAACAGAAAACCTGAAGAAAATTACTCATTTTAGATCTTATTTTTCCCTTTAGAAGTTGTTTTCAATTAGAAAGTATCATACAAATAGTGTATTGTAATTTCAAAGTGAGACATCAAGAAAGACTTCATAGATAAAGTAACTGTTAATCAGCATTTTAAAATAGAGTTCTTTTAGTTACTAAAATAAGCAGGAAATTATTTTAAAATTATGAGCAAAAGCTGAGTTATGCAGAACATTTTTCAGGTTGCATGTTTGGTTTGCATTTGGTAGAGGTCTTACGACAGAAACTAGTAAAAAATACTTTATGAAAATATTTTGAAACCAGATTTCTTAAGGAGGTTAATGGTCATTGGTTACCTATTTTTTCCTGCAGCTCATCAAATACCCATTACCCTTTAGTGTGAGCCAGTTCTAAAATTACATTACTCAATTAGCATTACATTGTATATCTATTTAATAACCAATATGAAAGCAAAGCTTAAAACAAAAATATTCAGGAAGTAATTTCTTTCTTTCTTTTTTTTGACCACTCTATGTAGAGAAACCATGCGCCTTGTTTTGCTCTCCTGTTGGAAAAGAGCAGCCTGTTCTTCTATCGGAAAAAGTAATGGATGGGACTTCTTGTGGCTATCAGGGATTAGATATATGTGCAAATGGCAGATGCCAGGTAAGACATTCCACAGGGAAAGCCATGTATATCGAGGGAGGACTGTGGGACTGTTCTGAAGCTTCATAGCATGGTAGAATGCCTTGGACTGAGATTCAGAAGACGTAGGTATGCTTTTGACTGTAGTCTTGACCACGTTTTACCCACTCCGAAACTCTGCTTCTTTCCTGTGTAATGAAACAGTTGGACCAGGCAATCCTTGAAGTCCACTACTAGCTCAAAAAGTCTGAGATTTTGAACTTTATGTGTGCATATTATAGGTCTAAAATTGGACCATTTTATGTCCAAACATTCCTAACTAACAATTCAAGCGCTTCACTTCTGCACTTTATGTATCTGAGTCCGGAAGCAGAAACCGAAGTGTCAGCTTTCTTTAGTTAATTATCAATGTACTTGAATCAATTAGTTTTTAAATGTATGTGTAACTTTCTTACAACAATTGAATATTTTCTTCTGTCTTTTTTCTGAAAATAATTTCCATTTCCATTCATTCATGTGTTCATCTATCTGTAGAATTTCTATTAAAGTATGAAGAACTTGTGGAAATATGTAAGTTTAGAGCTTAGCGTTTTCCTAACCACAGCTCTCCTCTCAGGTTGGCTTGCCCTGAAAGATGAGCAAGGTTATTCTGAGTGTTCTCCTGATGAGCACGTGTGTGAGAAGTGCAAAAATTCGGGCCTGGGCATTCGAACACTGACTCCATGGGGAGCTCTTACACTGGCATGGCTCTTCAGTGTTTCCGACAACTAGAGAGAGAAGCCCATCTTTTTAGACCCTGCCGTCAATGCATGTTTCAGTCCAAGGAGTCCCAGCAAGGAGATATGACCTTGAGAAGAGCAGTTTCCTTTATGCTACGTGGTTTCTCAGAAACTTTGCAGAAATGCACAAACCATAAATCCTTTAATAAGTGTGTGAAGCAGCAATGAACCCACAACGATGATTAGTAAACTGTGAATCTGGGATGAAACACAGAAACAAATAGGTATACATTAACTAACCCTTAAAGCGATGTTAATAGATCAGTGCTCATTAGCGTAATACTATGCATTCTTTCCAAGAATTGAAAGAAAATTTTTGCCTCAGAAAAATGTGTAAGTGAATATATAGACACCAAAATTTGAGAAAAATTTTAAGGAAAGGGTGAATCAATCTATGATTCAATAAGTGCAGATGGACTGGGTAAGAAGTTGGGAAACCATGCAATTTAAACACTTTTGCTACTTTACAAATCTGTATTTTGCTACCATGCTGTAAAATCTAAGGCTTTGAATCATGTAATGTTAGCAGCATAATGTCATTAGCATATGTACGTTTACAAAAATTTCCTTCATTGTTTAACAGAATAAAGTAGTAACCTAAAATGTAGTTTTTCTTCTACCAATAAAACAGTCATCATACATAATTGAATTATATATCTAATTTTCAGAACTATATATATAAATACAGCTTTTACTTTTTAGTTATATGTAAATCTGTCAAATTAGTGTATGTCTTTAAGTGAATTTATTTTTCCAAAATTATTTCCTAACCATATATGCCAAATGAAATAGACTGCATTGATATGCTTTTTATTTAAAGGTGCTGTCTAAGCCAGAGATTTTACAATTGATGGCTACACATTAAAATTATAAGGACAGAAACTGTACACAAGTGATATGTGAATCTGGTGATCATGCTTAAACTAGACTTCACTGAAATGCATTGACTTTTTAATTAAAATTCTTCATTCATTCTTTTGATATAATTAAAAATGTGCCTTTTATTCTGATAGCAATCTGGAAACTGGAAGTTTAAGGGTATTTTGTTTTGTCACAAAATGAACAACACCAAAGCTGAATATGGAATACTAAACTTAGTGAATAAAGGACATTCCAAACAGCTTTCAGTAAAGTTTTTGTGACTAAAAGAACAAGGAAGGCTTGAGCCTGTGTCATTATGCTAGCTGACCACTTCCAGCATGCCATTGGCACTGGGCCTGCCACCACTGAGATGGCACTGCCTTGTCAAAGGTGTTCATTCTCTGTGTTTGCATTTAAGTGAACATATTTGGATAAAGGTGGGCACTTAAGACCACCCTTTATTTGATTAATATCTTTCATTTTAGAAGTGTGTGCCACTTGAATATAGTATAGATGTGTATTCCTTTTTATTTAGATTTATAGAATTTGTAATCTCTTAGCTACAGGGATAGGAAACTACTGATTAATTGTGAAACATCATTCAGTCATTTGTTTTCTAGCAGGGATAGAGCAATATAGAAAGTTTTAATTCTTAAAATCACTTAAGATCTACCGTAAGGGTTTTCCTCATCTATACTGTAAGGACACATTTATTTTTAAGACTCCCAGGAGTTCATGATTTTTGCTTAGTCCTCTTCAGTATGTTTTGAGCATGTCCAGTGGTGACTGCCTCTGCGTGAGGAAGCTTTGTTTCTCTGGAATAAGGTTTGATTGGCTCTCCATTAATGCACAAGTTGGTATCCTTCAGAACTGATGTGCGCTCTGACACAAGGAATACTGTAATAGTGTTCATGTGATTTTTACTATCTCCAGATACTCATTCTGTAACTGCACTTTTTAATCTGATTGCTTTCAGAACCCCAATACCACACCAATCACAGTCAAGGACTTTGTTTTAGTTTGTATTTTACATAATATTTTAATTTTTTCTGAAATAATGAGAACTTGCCTGACATGAACTATCATCAGTTTATCTTCTGAATCAGTTTTGATTAGGAGGAATCGTGTGAGCCTACCATGCATTTTGGGTAGTATTCACATGCTGAATTTTGAGTTCTGTATATGCACAACATGACAAACCAGGGCTATGCTTTCTGAACATCAGTGGTGGAGAAAGATTATTCACTAGGAAAGAATCAATTGATTCAATCTCAATAGATTTCTAGTGACAGAGGTCATTTGAGAGAATGTAAAAATGTATTCCTAGATATTCATATTTTCTTATATCAGATGGGTGAGACAGTATTACATTTATGTGCTGCAATTGAAAGATGAGGATAATATTTATAGCTATAGTAATAATATTTATAGCTATAGTAAATAAAATATTAAATATAATTTTTTCAGTTTTCCTTGTCAAATATTTAATATTTATCATTACTTTAGTAATGAAGTCATTGAAAAATATGTGTTCTTTATTGAGTAGAATTAATTACCTAAATCATGCTGCATGTGGTAGAAATGTGATTTGTGAATTTATATAAATTTGATTTTTGTTAATATTTTCTTCCAGATTACTTTAGTATATTATTATTTTTAGCATATTCTTTAATATTTAGTATGAGAAATGTATTCTCACACTATTCTGTATTTTTGCCATTTTACAGATTATATTATTTGGCATAAGCCTGCTTTATTAGTCTGCACCAGAAAATATGCCATTTTATAGTTTTTCAATCAAATATGTCTAGTTTACAGAAATTAGTTTCATCCTAAATTTGTTACTTTAATAATGAAAAGAAATCATTTAACTTATGATGTCCTCTCATTCTTTTCTTTCAGAAAGTTGGTTGTGATGGCCTATTAGGGTCTCTTGCAAGGGAAGATCACTGTGGGGTTTGCAATGGCAATGGAAAATCATGCAAAATCATTAAAGGGGATTTTAATCACACCAGAGGCGCAGGTAATTGCCCTTTATTTTCCATAGTTAATAGCCAGTATTGTCTTTGGGGACAGAAATTACATTAATTTTGACTTAGAAATCATAGTTATGATTCTACTGAAGGTATTTGTAGTGAATTTTGAATGATATTTTCTGATGACATACAATGTACGTGATCCAAGCCAGAAATTCAAACAAGCTCATTTCCCAGTAATGAAAACATGAAGTCATCTGTTGTGCATTTAATAAGTAAGAGCAGCTAGGGGATAATCTAATTTGCATTGGCTATTGTTATCAGATTTCTAAAGACTTTATTCTTCAATGCAAAGCATATTTAACAAAAAATAATGGTTTGTAACAGCCTGAAACAACCCCCGAAAATATCAGTCCTTGGGTTGTCGATGTTCCCTTTTCCTTGTTTCAAACTTCTTAAAATTTTTCCTGAATTTCAAGGAATAATCATACTGGGAAATATAGAGAGGGAGGTTCAGGTGATGCGGATGAAATCTCCAACTTACTACTAGAGAGACTGCATTGTCTCTCTGTTTGTTCCCTGATCTATAAATAGAAATGATTAGGGGCATGAGGATGAGTTATCTATGAATGTTCTATGTATGTGAATATAAAGAGATTCATAATAAGCGATAGGGTCTACACTGAAATATGGTGACTCACAAATAAGCTTTTTATGACAAAAATTCTTTGTGCTCAGATTTCAAGTGTGTGGTGAAAAGGAATGTTTCCTATGTTTCGGTTAGTTTCTTACCTGGATATGTATCTGTTGATCTGTCATTTATGTCTCCTCATTGTCATTAGTGTGCCCATATCACACGGAACATTTTTCTCATTTTAATTTTTTTATTTAAAAAAAAAGCCCAAATGGAAGCAAAAGTTTTGTAAATAAGAATGGGAAGAATGGCTGAAGGGAGGGTAGAGGAATGGGGGGAAAAAGTTATATCATGTACATTACATGTACATTACAGAGAAATTACAGATTTCCTATAATGAATGTAATCCTGATGTAAACCTAAAATGTAACAATAAACTTGTGATTAAAAATCTCTGATAGACTAAAAAAATAGACAAAATAACATAAAAATTCAAAACTAAAATAAGTGTTAGTTCTATTGCAAAGAAAAAGACCTTTACGTTCGAATAAAAAAAGAAAACTTGAGTTCATTCTAGATAAGAGTTCTTCAGTTATAATTCAGCTATAGCCTTAAGATTGAAGGCAGCATTTTGGTTAGACCCTAGGAAAATAAAAGATAACTTAGCCTGAAAAACTTGGCAACTAAAAATAACTAAGGCCCAGGGTAAACGGGAGATAAAAATCTCAATCTTTGAAGCTATGAAAAAGGTGATAAGTCCCACATGTCAAAATCTGCCAGATCACATTTTAAAAAGACATAGTTGGTTGAAACACTTTCAGACATTCAACTAAGAAATTTAATTTTAATGAACTGTTCCTTGTGGTTATCACGAAAGAAGTGTTTACAGTGCAAACCCCAAGTAAAATCTGAAAGACTGAAAAAAATGCAAAGGTGTAAGAATTTTTGAGAGAAATTCTTTATAGTTAATGTACATGGAAATGCATACAAGTACCTTAAATACTGACTTCTTTATTTATGTGCAATAAGATTTCATTTTTCTATGGTACATAAAGAACAAAATACCATTAAAAATTTCAGTGATGATTTTATTACAACTGCAGTTATGTGGCTACTTTTTCACGCAGTTACTTAATTCAACCCCATTTGATTTTATATCTCATTAGTATTGTATTTTGTTTGTTTGTTATATTAGCAGCATTTATTTGAAAAATATCTGAGGTATCTAACGTATTAATAATATCAGAACTGATATTCCTTGACTTTCTTCCTTGCAACTCTGAAAGTTTCATGTTGGTCATAGGGAAGAAAGCAGAATTCATAAACTGGACCATAAGCTCCTACGCAGTGTTGTCCCTGAGTATCTTTCCAACTTTATTTCACACCAGGTTCCCTTTTCACTAAGTTTTAGCCACCAGGTTTCTTACGATTGCTCAGATTGTCCTGTTCCCTCAGCATCTCATGCTGGCAAATGTTCTGCCTCTTTCCTTTTCAGGTTTGCTGGGTTAATTCTGGACAGAATGCAACACAAATGTTAGTTCTCTAGTGAAATGATCTGTGAATAAATTCTGTCTCTTATAACTTCTGACCTCTTCAGAAATTCTTACCCGGGTAGCTCTGATCACACACGTAATTTTATGTTTAATTGACTACTAGATGTTTTGCTAACTTTTAATACATTGAGAAAAAATATGGCTGTTTTGCACAATATGAATACCATATTCTCAGTTGCAGCATAACATGATACATTAAAACCTTTTAATTTAGTTAATAACAAAACATTATTCAGAACTTTAAAAAAAAGCTTGCTCTTAATTCTAACATGCTCTTCATCTATTTGGGTTTTTTGCTTGCTTGCTTTTGTTTGTTTTTGGTATCAGGGGTCGAACTCATGACCTCACGTTTGCCAGGGAGGCTTTTGTGCTGCTGAGCTAAACCCGCGGCCCCACTTCATCTACTTGTGACTTTAGGGATGTTGTATTCCCTTCTCCTGAGAACATTTTATCCATATAGTTTATTAACTTCCTAGAATTTTTGAAGGCTATGCAGACTTTTTGATCCAGTTGGCCATACACACAGTATATGTTACGTGAGTAACACACATGCAGATACATGTGGGTGTTTTCAGTCCCTGTGCTCTATTTAAAGATTGCTAAATCATTTTTGTTGGAGCTAGAAAATAAATGTAAGAGCTGTTTCTTTTTTCCCTCATGCCTTTATTGTGTCTTTTATTGAAACTTTCCTAATCAAGCAATAATTTCTTAAAGGAAAGCAAATCATGTATTTGACCACATGATTATCAGTATACACAAAGAGACACTGTACATAAAATGTGTTATTCTTAGTATAAGGAAGACACTCTTTTGTATTAGAAGGATGTGCTCATAGAGATTATATTTGCTTTCTCAGTCACCACAGTCTCGTCTATTCTATTTTATGAAACAATACCAAGGGGTTGTAGTAGCAAGTTGTAGAATTAGACAGAGATCTTTAAAGCTTGGGTGCTGTGCTGAAAAGCATTTTTTCCCTTTACTTTTTTTTTTTTTTTTTTTTTTTTGTCTTTTTCCTTTTTATCGGTGCCAGGGATCGAACTCACGACTGCCTGCTTGCAAGGGAGGTGCTTATGCCGCTGAGCTAAATCCCCAGCTCCTTTCCCTTTACTTTTAAATGACAAATATTTTTATGTATATTGCTTAGCACCAAAACCACTGCAGATTTCAGAACTGAGTTTTGAAATATTTGCATAGACCTTACCAGTTGAGTATTCCTAATCTTAAAAAATGTAAAATCTGATTATATTCCTAAATCTGAAATCGTACGAGTGTGATACACATACAGATTTGGTTTTTGTTTATTTGCTTGTTTTGGGTTTTTTTTTTTTTTTTTTTTTTTTTGGAGCATTTCAAATTAGGGCTATTCAACTTTATCTAACTGAATGTTAACATTATGGTTAAACATAACACTTTTACATGGAATAACTTTTACATGGAATATCATATTGCATTTGTTGAAAATATACATTATTGCTTCATGATTATGTGACGGTGATAACTACTATTTGCATTTAAGACAGCTGATAAAGAATGAAATCTTTGGTTATGATACAGAATATCTCTGTATGTAAAACAAACTGACATAATCAAACTTACGATATTGACATCACTGAGTATATACTGCAGCCTCATTTATTTATTTATTTATTGGAAGGACTGGGTATTGAACCCAAGTGCTTCACACTGAGCTATGTCTCTTTCAATTCTTATTTTGAGACAGGGTGATACTGAGTCTTTAGGTTACCCAAACTGGACTCAAACTTTGAAATCTTCTTGCTTCAGCCCCTCAGAGCTCCAGGATTATAGATGCTCTAAATTCTAAGCTATGCAATAATCAACTTTTGCATTCATGTCTTCAAAAAATATACCATCTCAATTGGGCCAAACAATATACTGAAAAGTATTTACACATCCATTGGCCTTTTGTCTTTAGAATTTTTCTTCCTCTCTTCTTTAAAATTAGTCTTAACTCACCAGTCCTATAATACATTTTAATTGAATGGTAAAGGATTGCTTTATATATAACATATAACCTTACACTTAAATATAATTATTGCTCTAATGTACAGTGTATATCTGAGTTTACTACTAAATTCAAACAAGGATTCACAATCCTACTTTTGTTCCATCTACTCCTCTTAACTTCCTCAAATTTAATAACTTACTCAAACATTACTGAATGTGCTTGTCCCATATTAATAGTTACCCCAACTGTGAAACTCTTTGGACTATTGCTTTCCTATTTGTTCTCTGTACAGCTTTTGACACAGTTTAACAGCTGCTGTTTTTAAGAGAGCTTATCCATGACATTTTCCTATACAAAATAGGCCAGATTTCCTCCTCATGATTATTCTATTTCAGTCTTGCATTCTTATTTATTTGAGTTCTCTTTGTTGAGAACATACCAGTCACCGAAGTCAAGGCCTTGACTTTTCTTTTTGCTCATTTTTCTCCCTGGCAATTTAAATCCATGACTTACTGCTTCTACAGTGACCTCATACAAAGGTACATCAACACCCTGACCTCTCTCCAGAGTTCCAGATGTTCCACAACACTGGCTCCATCTGTTTTACTTGCATGTTGTACCACTTTGTTAAATTCAGGGTGTGTGGGGCTGGGGATTTAGCTCAGTGGCATAATCGCCTGCCTTGCAAGTGTGGAATCCTGAGTTCAATGCCCGGTACCCCCTCCAAAGAAACAAAAAACAAAAACAAAGAATCACAACCTTTTAAAAAAAGAAGTTTGAAAAAATAAACTCAGGGTGTGACACCAAGATAATTTATCTCTCAATGTCCTTGTTTCTGTAAGTGATGGCTCCATTCTCACATAAGTTAACACTGAACCACTGTGGTCAATGTTGATTTCTCCCCTTCTCAGTTACTCAGTTCTGAATTTTGGTTGCTTCACAGTGTCTTCGGGATTTTCTGCCTTAGGCTCTTGTCCTGACTTTTAGAATTAGCCTCCTGACACTGGCATCCAGAGCTATCCCCATTTTAATCTTGCACGTTGCTTTCGACCTCAAAATGAGAATCTCATTACCAATGTCCTTATCAAATTCAGTAGCTCCAAATTGATCATCTTAAACACCAGCAGCAGCACCCTCTTGTACATTCTCATTCCACAGAATTATCCAAGAGCTACCAACACCATTTGTCTCATGTTCTTCTTTAATCACTGAATTTATACTTTTTCTGTATCTATGTGCTGTCTTACTTTGTACATTCTGCAAAGACCATCCATCTACTTACTTGCCTCAACTTATGTGGATGCTTCTCTCCTCTGAATCCTAAAATATATCTTAGTAATTAAAAGTATAGAATCTTCACATAGTGTGTGGCCAGAAAAGGGAGGAAACAGCTTTAAAAACCCTACCTGATGTTAGTTAATAAGAATTAAACTGCATTGTTTTATGTTACAATTGAAATTACTTTTGCAGTTTTATGTAACCATATTTAAGTTAGATATTTATGACCTGTCTTTCCAAGTTAATTATAAATTTACTGAAGTAGAGGCCATCTTACTTTGCTTCTAACACAAATCTAGAATTAGCTCCAGTGATTCTTTAAAAGTTCAAATCATACCTCTCACAGATATATGGATGTACAAACACCGAGAAGCATATTGTTATTTAATATAATTGTAAAGCATAACCATTAAACTAAAAGTAGACATCTGCTCTCCATGTCTCTCTTGTGCACTAAATGAAATGTTGATCCTTTTCTGCTCACGCCCTCATCTTATTCCACTTTATCTTAAGATCTTATTGTACTTAAGCATTGTTCCTAACCTGTCCTGGAGAATCTCTCCTGAGAAACACCTGATGTTTTCTTATATGGAAAAGAGACAATCAGATTACTAAGTGCAGTCATACACTTACTTGTCTCCAGCTCCAGTTTCAAAATCTTTTGCTAATCGCCTCTGTGGAATGCTTAGATTTTCTTGCCTTGCATTAAACTGCTCCAGAGACTGGTCTGGGCCAGCTGTGTTCTCCCCAGCTCTGCATTTTCCAGCTTAGAGGAGTTCCCAGAGTGCAATCTGAGGTTATTTGTTGTAGCTCACAATGTACTGTGCTTCTAATTAAGCTAGCCCATTACACTTTTCCTCTCTTCATAGTTCTTAAGATGAGTAGAGTTTTTCTACATAAAACACACGTTCCCATCTGTCTTCAGGAGAAGTCAGTGTGTTTCTAAGAATTTTCTTTCCTTGAAATCATGACAGCCTTTACTTATCCATAACAATTTTTTCTTTCCATAGGCATAGAAAAAAAAAAAAAAATCCAAAGAGGGACAGCAAGTCAAGTAACAAAAGAGACTTTATAAGAATCACGGATTTATTTTCTATTTCCTTGACTCTTACAGGCTACGTAGAAGTGCTGGTGATACCCACTGGAGCAAGGAGAATCAGAGTTGTGGAGGAAAAGCCTGCACATAGCTATTTAGGTAACCCGCGTTACAGACACAGAGCCAAGCCAAGTACGAGTCCATCTTCTTGCCCTGACAGTTCTGTGAGGACAAGGAAATCAGTCTGTTTCTAGTTTCATGTTTGAACTTCCCAGGAAGCACCTCTTGTCATAACGAGGAAGAATTTCTTTCCTTCTCTCCCAGGGACTTCCCAGGAGCAAAAGCAATCTGGTTGTCTATATGTTTTGGGGGAATATAAATTGCTTCCACATGTTAGCCTATGATAAATGAAAAAAAACCTCACTGAATGATTTTGGTATGTTTTATTCTAACTATATTTCATTAGAACATTTACTTCATATCTATACACATATGTGCACAAAGATGTCTACATATTCACTGCATGTGTAAATGTTTATATGCTTATTTTTATAATGCTTATTTTAGAATTAAGATATCTTTTGCTTTAAAAAACATTCTACATAATTAAGGGACCTGACCTTGTAATGTTAAAAGATTCTCTGTCTTACTTCACTTAAAGAAAAAAAACTTTGAGTATTGCTGGTAGAAAGGATGTACTTGTTATTTAATACTTTAAGTCAACTGATAGTTTTAAAATATATTGAGAAAATATGAAGTATTAAAAGTATACTAGCTTATATATTATTTAAATCTAAGTCATGACCATGTAGTCTTGACAACCATACATATAGAGACCAAATATTATTATGTTAAGCCAGGGAATAAGTATTCTTCAAGAATTAGAGATTTTATTGATATCATCTTTATTATTTTTCTTGAGACAGTGTTTCACTTTGTTGTCCAAACTGCTCTCAAACTCACAGAAATCCTCTTGCCTCAGCTTTCTGAATGCTGGATTACAGGCATGGGTCAAATAATCATTTTGTTTTATTTTTTACAAACACTCAAATTATTGTTTCTTTAGAAAAATTATACCTTTTTAATTCTTCCTTGAATGAGTGATAGATTTCCCAAAGAAGAAATCCTTTATACATGGAAAACAATCTATCTTATTTAATTGTTTCTACTCTCTAATGTCAAAAATAATTCACTCTTGGTTAAAATGTTTTTATGACAATTTGCTTTTTAGTTGAAGAAAAAAGGTAGCAAAAGAAATTCTTTTATCCATGACATACTCATTAGTTTCCTATTACCAATATATACATTTGACAAAATTCACCTACAATGGTTTTTAAATGCTTTTTAAGTGAAATTAGATCATTTCATATATTCAAATTCAAATAACAGTACTCAATGTTCAAAAATATTGGATGTTAGATGGTCAATAAATTTATTTAATAACAGATAATTGACTATTTTATTTGAGTAGGTTTTCTTTTTTCCAAGATAGAAATATACATTTTTCAAGTGTAATTTTCCCAAATCTATAAAATTTTAGAATGTATTATGAGTTTTATTAACCAGACCTATGTGGCTGAAGTTGTAAAAGGCTTTAGCTTCATGGTACCGCCAGTTCCTCTTCCCTCAGGCTCCTCAAATCAATAACGTTGTTTTTTCTGTCTGTGTTACTGCCCTCTTCAAGGTCAGAAAGTGTTTTCCCTTGTGACAAAAGCAGTATTCACATGCTGCTTTACCTGTAATAGCATTGAAATCTGTTGACTTACCCTTATTTCATTGAACAAGTCTTTTGCCTGCTGTGACAGTTACGTAGCCGTTTTGCATGATCAGCTGGTCTCTTTTCTTGTGCTCTCAAACTTACCAAGATCTCTAGATGTTCCCGTGTGGGGCAGACTGGGAGCTTCCTCTTTGCTGTGCTCTGCTCTCCCTGGGGAAAGGCATTTAACTCTATTACTTTATATCCTCCTTGAGTGTAAATTGTCAAGTGTCTCATGAGTATTTCAGAAATAATGAGCCCAAAGTAAGAAGTTTAGCTCAAAAATGTGATTTCCATGACATACTGAACTTGTTCTTCCCTTACTTTTCTCCACCATGGTAAATGTCACTGCACTATTGTCAGGTGAGTTTGTAACAGTTATCACAAGGTTGGCTATTTAAAGCAATTGAGATAAATGGAGTCCTCATAGCTCCAGAGGCCAGAGATCCACAGTTCGTTTCAGTAGCCCCCAAACAAAAGTTTTTTCAGAGCTTACCATCCTTGGGGACTCCAGGGAACATTTATTCCTTGTTTCCTAAAGCTTCTGGTGGTTACTTGTATTTCTTTGTGGTCACAACACTTCAGTATCTGCTACCATGATGTTATCTTTTCTTGTCTTCAAATTAGCCCTTTATCCTTCTAAAAAGATACGTATGACCACATTAAGGACCTCTGGGATAATCAAGGAAAATCTTCCCACATCAAAATCTTTACTATACTATCTGCAAAGTTTTTTTTGTTTTGTTTTGTTTTGTTTTTTTTGGGGTTTTTTTTGTTTGTTTTTTTAAATAGGTAACTGTCTTCATGTGTTCACCCTGCTATAGCAAAATACCATAGACTAATAGGGCACACATACCATGTGAGAGGCCAAAATAAAGGCACTGACAGAGGACAGCAGTGAGGGCACATTACCAGATTCATAAGGTGGCATCTTTTTCTATGTCCACGTATGGAGGAAGGGGCTGTCTTTTGCATGAACAAGTTGCGTGGATTGAAACATGTATATTTCCCTTTCAATCAAGTTTCTCTTTGGGCAAAATATATATAATATAAAATTTGAAAATTAAAATTTTTAAAGTTCAGTGCTGTTAAATGCATTTACATCTCAGTAACATTTTTTGTAAAATTATAAAACTCTGTTCTTATGAGGCATTCCTCTTATGAGGAATCTTATTCCATTATTATGGAATAATCAAACTAATCTTGAAAAAGAATAATACTATAGGATTCACACTTGCTAATTCCAGAACTATCAAGTTAAAGTCATCACAACAGTGTGGCCTAAAGACAGACCTACAGACCAATGAAATAGAACAGAAAGCATAGAAACAGACCCCTCAATACATACTTATTTTAACACAGTTAAAAATGTTCTTTTCATAAAATAGTGCTAGGAAAATTGAACACCCACACACTCTGAAATAAAGCTGGATCCATACTTAACCCAGTGCACAAAGGTACTTTCAGATCCAGGGCTTTTCTTTGATTCTTTGTACTCCTTAAATTCCCTTACTATTATAAGTTTATTTAGGATTTCTAATTCTGTGATTCAGTTTTGATATATTTTGTATTTCTAGAAATTGGTTCATTTTATTAAAGTTACCCAATTTGTTGTCGTTTCTTTCTTCTTGGTACTTTCTTATAATCTTTTTCTTTTTCTGTAGCATTCTTTGTAATATTCCCACTTTTATTTCTGACTTCAATAAATTCAATATTCTCTCCCCTCTCTCTTTAAATGCAGCTAAAGGTCTGTCAATTTCATTGATATTCATTGATCTCACTCTAATCTTGATTTCTCCTCCCATCTGATAATTTGAAGGTCAGTTTATGCTTTTACTAATTTCTAAATTGTAAAGTTTGTTAATTTTAGTGTTTTTAAAGGTATATATTTCCCCCTTGTAACATTTATATGCTCCATAAGCTTCAATATGTGGAGTTTTCTGGTTCATTTGTCTTGGGATATTCTCTAATTTCTCTTTTTTTCCCTTTGATACATTAGTTATTTGATAGTGTGGTGTTCAGTATCTACAAATGGTGAATTTTCCAATTTTCTTCTGTCACTGTTTTCTGACTTCATCCCACTGTATTCGGCAAAGATATGTTGTATTATATGTGGATTTTATGATGCCAGCCTCTTCCACAGAGCCTTTGTTCAGCCAGCACTGTCCTTCATTTCCATCCAGTTGTTTATGCCACAAGTGAGAGTCCTCCTCCATCCCTCTGTTTCTTTACCATTGTGGTAGCTTATGTCAGCAAATCACGGCAGGTAATTAAAGCGGTTTCTTTCCTTCTTCATGCAGTGTAACCTCCAGCTAAGCCCCTTCTTATTATGTGGCCGTGCTTTGTTTCCTTCCCAGCACTAACCGCTCCCTGGATCCCATTATTTGTTTATGGCTTGTTATCACACAGGTATAAGGCTTATTTCGGGTGGTATATTACACATATATTCATTAATAAATCCCACCACACCTTTGTGAAGTAGGTACTTTTAAGATTCCAGTTTTTAAATCAGAGAATAAAGCAACCGAAAGTTTATGTTTCTTATATCTAAAAAACCATAATGTTGGGTTTGAATCCTTGGCTTTCGATAGCTTCTGTGTTTCCCTGCATCGAGCCAGGCTGCCACATTATTTTGTCCTTTTTAAAACCATTAACTTATGTGCAACACTTGTGATTTTTAAAGGACATGTCCCCTTTTGACATATTTTCCTCAAATTTTCCCCACATTGTATTTCTTTCCCAATTTGAATTAATGTGATAAATTTATTTATAGAATTAATTTAGGGAGTAAAACATGAAATGAGTGTTTTATTCTCTGGATACAACCTCTAGCTCTGCCAATGCTATTTTCTTGTCATAGATCTCTGCACAATATTCAGTTCAATTTCTATCTTTCTTTCAACACTAGTTAATATATTGCTTACTGTTATCTTAGAAATAATTGTTCAGGTTACAAGAGCTAGACTTAAAAAAATGATCAGACAATCAAACAATGACAGCACAAACTGTTCTTTTTGATGAACTAAAGTGAATTAGTAGTATAGCTATCTATCCTGCACACGTATACATACATACTGTTGTTATGTGGATACCTATATGCACATAGTCTTTTCCTTTCTGCCATGTCTTCTTTCCCCATCCCGATTATTCTTCCCTTTTGAGCACTTTCTTTCCCTTTCATGAGTACAGCGTCTATCTTGTTTTAAGTGTGTACTTGGAAAACAGAATGGATATATCCATTCTGCGGAAGTGCCACATGCATGTAACATATCTTGACTTTTAAATCCCTTTATACACCTCTCCTTTAGCTTCCTGCTTACGGATGAACTCCTTTTATATCTCCAAAAATCTACATTCTTGTTTTTAAGTGTCTGCTTTAAATTATAGGTCGTTGTCTTTGTGTTTAGCTATAGCCCTAAGTTAGCAGGGTCTTTAA